TCTAGGGCTTGGGTTTGTTATCCTGGTTTCACCAGGTGACCTGAACTTTGTTTTCCCGTCTGGACAACAGGAAAGTGGCACCGTCCCCATGCGGTAATGGAGACAATGGGATTTCAAACAGTGACTAGAAATGAAAGGCTCTGGCCAGCTGTGGAAGCTGGGCATGGGGAAACCTGGGGGTTCGCTTTATAGTCCTCGCTGAAGCCGAAAGTTAGTTACTGGCCTAAAGTTTGGAGAATCTTCCTCCGGGGTGGGTTTCTGCCCTTTCCTCAACAACCCTCCCGGCAATTCTCTGCTTCCTCTCCGTTCCTGCAACACTTTTCCCTGCCCTGGTGCCGAGGGAAGGAGGCGGGAGGGTGGGTGGCTTTAAGACGCCCCTCTGAGAACGACGACCCGGGCTCCTGTTTACTGACCAGTCTTCAGCGTTTCGTCATCTGTCAAACTGGGATGGCACACCTGCCTCAGGGGACTGTTACAGAATCAACACACATGGATGTCAGGGCCAGTCCACTGCAGGCCTGGGGAAAATAAACGGGACCCCTCACCAACGGCAAGGAGGTAATGGTGCCGAACTGTAGATTGTAAACTGGCCGTAAAAGCCTGGGGTTTTATTTGAAGTGAACATGCTTCAAACTCTTATATGAAAAAACAAAGAAGTTATAGAAAACAATTCTGTGCAGTTTCTGGTTGCCAAAACCCAAGATCAACACCGACTTTTGTTTTGAGAAAATGATGTTAGGAATTGTGCCCCACTTGTAGGGTCCAGGCTTCCAGGTGACTCTGAACGTGGCTTCTAACAGTAAGACAGAATGTGCCAGCTGCCGTGACTCATGTGAGTGCACACAGATGGGAGAGGAGTCAGCGTATCTGGATCCAGGAAAGTCCCGGGAGAACCTTCCCCCACTGCAAATCGTTTCTGTTCATGTGTGTGTTGAGGTTTGGCTTTGCATTCTGCCCCCTAAACCAGAAAACTGTGATTTGCTTCTCTTTTTTTCTTTCTAAAATGACATCTTGTTTTTATAAGACTCTTGGTTGGATGTTTTTGGCTTACTTTTTATAAGTAACAGTGAAAAAAAGTTACTATTCACCATTTAAGCTCTCTAATATAGAGTTCATTTGGGTTCCCAAGCAATCTCTGGTCATTAAGGATGAAAACTCAACTTCTCTCCAAGCCATGAAGGGACAACTCCCTCGCTGACAAACGAGAGATTCTTCCTGGCCCTGCTGGTTCATTAAGCGGAGAACAGGCTCAACGACAGGGCATGCTTTGTTTCCCTGAACTTCTGAATGGCTTTGTGTTCTCAGAAGCCCCAACAGATGCTGAGTTGGAATTCAATCGGTCTCCTGGTGAGAATCAAGGAAACGGGGCTGATCCCGGTTTTGATGGGAACAGGACAAGTGGAACGAAATCTCTGGCTGTGGCTACCAGAGGACCGAAGGGGTTTGTATTTGTCTGACTTTCCTTTCCAACTTTATTTTTTAGCAAATACAGAGCCCTTCTCAGGGTAGAATATGACGATTCGACAAGAAAACAAGGGGGCAGTTGTATGCCATGCCACCCGAACAAGGTAACAGAACATGAGAAACCTTTCTAATCAAGTCCACGTGTGGGAAGAAATGGAAGTGGCAGGAAAAGGAACAAGAACAGGGAGAAACGGACCGCTGCCCGTCCTCCCGCACGTGGCGCCTCCCACTCCGGAGAGGAGGCCTTCTCAGGGACTGCCGCTGAGGAGAGAGCATCCTGTTTCCTCACGGAGTTCCTAGTGATGCTTACGCCCCCAATGTGCTAGCTGAGGGGACCGAGGAGTTGAGTCAGAGAGCTGCCAGGTCCCAGGAAGGTCTGTCGCAAAGGCGACGTGGGCTACCGTGTGAGCACTCCCACGTGCTCCCTACCCCCGGCTCTGCCACCGACAGAAGGACAGCTCCGAGTCTCCCCTTTCCTTCCCGTTTCTCCTCAGCGACGGGGGTCAAGGAGCTGTGGAGTAAGCAATTCCTGGGCCTTCAGCCCAATTTTCTGCCCGGTGAGGAGGTTCCTGACACGCAGACATCTGGTTTCCACAGAGGACTCACTGCTTCTGAAATCTGTGGTGGCTCTGAGGGTTAGGCTGAGGCCTCCAGGGTGGTCTGTGCTCTCACAGGGCCGGCCGGTTACCCTGACGCCTCCTTTTGTTGGGCATATCAGGGATGCTCGGCACTGGGGTGCATACTGGTGGCTCCCAAGACCTTTTCTTTGGTGTCTAAAGTGCTGGCTCCAAGCGTTTTAAAGATACTTGGCTGAATGACCAATCTTTAAAAATCGGGAGATTTTACATTAAAATACAGATTTCCAGCCTCTCTGGAAAATCTGAAGCCACAGTGACTCTGAGCACAGTCTCATTTGGCAACAAGCTGTGGGAGCTGAGCAACAGCCGAGACGGGGCCCAAACGCTCTCCCGTTTGCCACAGTGTCCACCACGCCCTGCCGTCTCCCAGCGCTGGCCTACTTCACACTCATCAATCGTTTATGTCACTGCTCGCCCCTGTGGTACCTTGGGTCTGTGACCCCAGCCACTTGCTGTTTAGGTTTTAAGTGTGAATCTTTTTCTGCTGTTTTCCCTCCATTTTTTTTTTTTTTAAACGTTTACAGTACCTGGTATTCCTAGGTGGTCTCCCTCCAAGTTTTTAAGCACAGATATACGGCATCACTCCTTATGGCTGCATAGCATGCTAACGTGAGCATCCTCCCCGGGCTGTCCGCCACTGTGCTCATACACGAGGGAGAGAAATAAACTTCTATCTTGTCAAAGCCACTGTTATTTTTGGGCTTTCTGATCTTTACGGTCAAATTGATCCTGATTAACATAGGGATGTTTACTGATCTCTTATTCAGTCATAGTGCTCTTTCCATATTAATCACATTCATCTATAGCATACATGTTGTAACGACTTTCCCGTGTCTCAATCCACACGGTAGCCAGTGCAATCTTGAAAACTTAAGCGAGGCCCAGTCACTCCCCTCCACAAGCCTTGTAACAGCTCTGGCCGCAGTGAGACCATTGCCTGGTCCTGTGCCCGCCTCTCTTTCCTTCCCTAGCTCACCACCTGCGAGCCACGCTGGCCTTCCTTCTAGTCCCCAAACAGGCCGAGTTTGTTTTCTTTTTTCGGTCTGCCATGTTCTTCTTCCTCCGGATGCAGGTCTCACTGCAAATGCTGCCTTCCCAAGATGCCTGCCAAGGTCACGCTAAGGTCAGCCCCCCCGCTCCAGCTCCTGTCTTTGCTGCACATACACCGGCTACATGGAGGACTTCTGCAGACTGCGAGCTCCATGAGGACAGGGTCTTTGCTGTTTAGACTAGTCTTGGACACACTGAGTAGCTAATAATGACAGAATGAATGCATCTATCATTTCTCTAGTGAACGGAAATGGTATTTCTATCGTGCATTAAGTTCTTATGGGTCTGTTTCTGGTCTATGTTTTGTCCCTTTGATCTTTCTGCCTATTCCTGTATTAGTCTATATAGTTTTGATTACTGTGGCTTCATAGTAAAAATCAGTCTCATTTTCAAAATTATAGGTAATTTTTCAAGAAAAAAGTCCCACTGAATTTAAATGGGAATTACAGTAAATGTCTAGATCACTCTGGAGAGAACGAATCTCTCTACAATAGCAAGTCTCTCCGCTGAGGGACATGATGCTTCTCCACTGTCTAGGTCACCTTTACCGTCTCAAGTGAAAGCTGAGGAGTAACAGGCCAGCACTAGGCCCTTGGTGGGCTTTGGTGCATCCTCTCAAGGCCTTCCCTGAATTGGCAGGGTACTCACTGTTAGGCTGAATCGCTTGCTGGCAGAACAAATCTCTTCATGTGTCACACTGCTGTCCTTATAGAGCAACTTATAACTGTGAGTTTCACATTTAAAAATTATTTTAAGAAAAACTAATAGATTTTTATGATAAAACTTATTTAAGAACAAAGTACATTTCTCCATAGTTCAAATCTCTTTATGTCCTTCAATATAGTTTTCTCCCTATTTCTTATTAAAGCTCATTTCTAGGGTATTTTATGATTTATATTGCTCCTGAGAATGGCATTCTGTGTTTTATTTTATATCTTGCCATCTTTCTACTGCTAATAGCTTTCCAGTTGATTATTTTGTCTTCTCTCAGGTTTAAGATGGTAGATTTGCTTTTCTTCTTTACATATAAAAGTGCTTAGAACGGTATCTGACACAAGTGGGTGCCCCATAAACAGTCTCCGACATCTGTATCTTTTATCTGACTTTCTTAGCTAACTGCACTGACCAGCAGTTCCAGAACAAAATACTGCTGATAGTCTTATCGTCTTATATTCGACTTTTTGGAAATGCTTCCCTGCATTTCACTATTAAATAAATGCTAATGACTGGTTTTGAAATATGGGGTTTAAAAATGTCATATTAAATAAGTCATCCTCCTAATACTAGTTTTTAAAGCTTGAATTAAGGATGTCTGAATTTTATTAAATGTCTTTTTACCACCTAAAGACTGATCACACGGTGCATTATGTTAAGAGATCTTAATATTGAACCATCCCTGCATTTCTGGAACAATCTCACTTGCTCGTGGTTTCTATCTGCTGATTTTATTTAGGGAATTTAAAACCTATATTTATAAGTGAGATGGATCTGTAGTTTCCATTTTTAGGGTTATCTCTGTTGTGTTTTGGTATTAGCATTATGCAGGTTTTATACAAATATGTGTAATAGGGTCATTACTTTCCTATGCTCTGGACTATTTCAGATGGCATAGAAAGATTTTATTCCTTAAAGGGTGAAAAAAATGTGCTCAGAAGCTGTCGGGCATGCTGCTTTCTGAGGAGTAGCTTTTTGATTACATTCTGTTTTTTTCGGTGGTTACTGGTCTATGTATTTCCCATCTTCCCATGAATCACAATGTGTTATGTATACATAAAACCTTGCTCCTTTATGCCCCCTTACTGACATTTTCCGCCTGTGGAGCAACAGACAGCCATGTGGTTCACTCACCGTGGGGTCAGTCCAGAGAGAACATCTCGAACACTCCTGGCAGGGGGCTCCCGGAGAGCGCGGGTGCTGGCAGAAGTGGTCATACCCGTTGATGGATACTCGACAGAGGTAGCACATTTGGGCGCCGCAGCGGCAGGACATGCGGTTGCAGCCTTCAGATTTGATGAGGCCGGTCCCGCATTTGTGGCATTTTCTAATGCGGGCGGCAGTCATTTTTTCTTCACTGAAAAAAGAATACATGATTAGAGATAGCAGGGAAGAGGAAAGAAAAACATTACGGCCATTAAGTATTTATTTCTTTCCATGTATACTGTTTGCCTAGCCCGTTGGGTGACAGAGTGGAAAGAGCCTATGTTTTGGAGTCTGAGAACTGAGTTCAGTGCATCACTTGATGACCTTGGGTAAATTATCCAATTGATGGGAGACTCAGTTTCTACATTTTTAAATTGGGAAAACCCAACTTTCTGATAGTGTTTTGAGGATTACAGATAAAATACAAAGTACTCTGGTACAGTGGCTGTCACGTAGAATTTAGAAAATGACTATTCTATTTATTATAGGAATCTCTGTAGGCTTTTCGGAGAAAAAAACTCAGGGTCTTCCTAAATAAAGTGTTTCATATATACAAAGCTGGGTAACAGAGAGCCAGAAAGCCTCACACTTAGTTACATTCACACCTTGGATTTTAAAATACTTGGTATGGGGGTGAGACAGACAGAGTTGGGGATGATCCAATAGCCCATCTATGACTTCTTATTGGCAGAACCCAGCTCCATGTTGGAAGCCACTCCCAGGCCCCCTTGCAGCTAAGGGATGAGCATGCATATGACTCAATCTTGGCCAATGGGAAGCTTGTAGGGAAGCTACTTGTTTCCAGAAGCACTTTAACTGATATGGAGGGGCAGATGACTGGAGTCAAAGTGACAGGTCTTGGCTCTTTGGCACTGCTGAATTAAGTTACTTCTGCGGTGCTCTGTTCAAAACACTTGCCACTTTGGCTTATAATTGTTTGTGTGTGTGTCTTCCTCTCCTAAGCTGGGTTCCTGGAAGGTAGAGGGCAGAGGCTGTGCTGGTGTACCAAGCTGGCATGAAGTATGGTCTTGATGGGAGGTGTCAAAAGGCATTTCTGAGACTAGAGAGGAGCACGAAGAACCCAAAGGGTAGACAGTGAAACTGGGACTCATCCCACTGATCCAAGCTCTTCTCTTCCATTCAAGTAGGAACCCAGAGGGGCGACCAGGGAACTGCTTCCATGTAAAGACTAACAGTCTGAGGATGAGTTCTGATCTGCAGACCCTCTCCTAAAGCTGAGAAAACGTCACCTTCTTCCTCCTACTCCTTCTCTGCTGAGTGGCCAGGTGAGTCAGGGGCAGGCGAGTGCTTTTGTTAGATACTCAGAAGACGGCCGTGGTGATGTGCACCTTAGAAGCCAGGTGACATATTTAAAAATAGAGGAATGCATTGGGAAACTGGCTGCTATTCATTTAGGTCTAATTTTGAATGACCCAAAATGAAGGAAGGCAGAACTCTGGCTTGAAAGATATTTAAACATAGTTCAAGTTATGGAGGAACAAATGAGCTCTAAATTTTGCTGAATTGGAAACATCAACAAGGAGACAAAGTTTAAATAAAGTTATTATCAACTTAATAATATAATACACATGTTCATGATTTCAGTTACTTAGCAACTGTGAAGACACTTGTCAATGCTCCATAAGACTCTCAACGTTCCGATGAAAAAGTTTTCAAATTGAAAAGCTGTGACCAAAACGCAACTGGAATTTTCGATAGCACAGACCTCCTGCGTAAGAGCACCCTTGAGACTGAGGTGTGGCTTTCAGGGGCTGGCTGACTTCTTTCCTGGGTTAGCTGCATAGGTTGCAGTGTGGGAGAGAAGTGGCTAAAAAGAACCAAGGTTACGTATCTTTCCTGAATGTTCTTTCCTGAATGTTCGAGAAGAGGCTGCACTTGTTTGCTCTGTTCCATCATGATGTCAGCCGCCAGCGTGAAATAATAATGGGTGTGGTAGGGGAGAGAAGACACTCCCAAAGGGATGGGGAAATATATAAAGATCGCATGCTACAGTGTTCAAACAGCTATTCAGTGCTGCATGAATACCTATACAAGTCCTTTGTTTTTGCAAAAGAACAGTACTAGGTAGGGCCAGAATGGCCTCGTACCAAAAAAGGACTGCTATTATGGGATGTGGTGACTACCTATCCAGTAACATAAAAATGCAAAATTGGGACTGGGGAGAAATCAGTGGATTCTTTTGGGAGGAGGGTGATTTTGGCACTAGATTCTAAACTAGGCAGGAAGCGGCCCCACAGGATGTGTTCCTGTTCAGAACAGGAAGAGGGGGCTATGCTGCAGCTGTGTCTGCTGACCTCGTGTTCAAACAGGAAGGCTCGCTGCTTTCCTCTACACAACCAATAAAGATCTCACGACTCAGTGATTATTCTTCTCGCCCCTATTTAGTATGATGAGAACTCCTCGTTGGGAGCTCTCTTCATTTCTTGTGGCGTATACTATTCAAAATCTTAAATAGCTTTCCCTTGTGAGTGTATTTTCTAAAATTGTAATAAAATACACAAAAAATTTACAATTTTGATCGTTTTAAAGTGCACAATTCAGGAGCATTTATCTATTCCCAGTTTGTGCAACTATCGCCATTATCTAGTCCCAAAACATTTTTACCAGCTGACAAGGAAACCGCGTGCCTACTAAGCCGTCATGTCCCGTCTCTCCCTCCCCTGCAATCGCCACTCCGCTTTCCGTCCCTAGTGGCTTTGTCTGTTCTGCGCAGAGGCAAATGTCCATGTGCTCGTGAACATGTCATGCAGATGGAATCGTGTAAGTCGTAGTCTTTTGTGACTGGCTTCTTTCACCCAGCATGTTTTCAAGATTCATCCACGTTGCATCACGTACCTTCACTCCCTTTCTAGAGCTGAATAATATTCTACTCTGTGGATATACTGCTTTTTTTATGATTCATCAGTTAATGGACATTTAGGCTGTTTCCACCTTCTGACTATGGTGAATAGCGCCACCACGAACCTTCTTGTACAAGTGTTTGTCGGAATACCTGCCTCATCTCATACTGCTTGTTATGCTATGTTTTATGATTCAGCAACAATAAACTGCTTATATTCCCTGTGTGTACCCTGCTGTTTCTTGCTCTGACACTTGGCAATGGGCAGGATTCCGTGGCTCTCCGGTCCGTGGACTAAGCGCTGTATGATGGGGAAAGGAAGTGGAAGCGCTTAGAGCACCCCCGCCCACAAAAAGTAATATCAGATTCCCACGGGCATCTCTGAGATCCGTGCCACCACTGAGGACTTCAAAGATGCAGGCTGTTGACTCTCATCACATTTCCTTTTACTTCCCCGTTTGGCCTGTACAGAAGAACAGGTCCTGGAGAACAGTGCAGTACTGTAAGCCGAATGAGGTGCCGACTCTAACTGCAGCTGCTGTTCCAGATGTCACTTCTTACCAGCGCAAATAAGCATAGCCTCTGGCAAGTGGTATGCAGCTACTGATCTGGAAGATGTTTCTATTCCCTGCCCAGTAAGCAGAGCACACCAGAAGCAGTTGGTGAGGACCTTGATCATCTGTTGTCCAATAGGACAACACACTGGTCTACTATTCCAATGCAATGATACACAGACAGAACCTGGTGACCAGGAAGGAGGTAGCAGGTACCTTAATATGGTACATATTGCTAGAGAGGGGAGATAAGTCCCTGGGAAAACACAGAGCTCTGCCATCTCTAGAAAGTTCTGGTAGTCTGGGGGTCGGGTGTGTATATCAAGCCATTCCTTCCGAAGTTAAACACATGTTGCTGTATCCTGTACGCCCTACCACGAAGAAAGAAGTCAGACACGTAGGAGGCCTTTCCGGACTTCAGAATCAACATCCAGCACACTGGAATGTGCTGCTCTGGTCTATTTACTGCTGATACCAAAGGCTGCCAGGTGTACATAGGGCCCAGACCAAGACTCAGAACGCGGCCAGCAGCAGGAACTGACAGCAGAAACGGAATGGGGCTCTGCTTCGAAAACTAACCAACTCTTCTCCTAAGAAGTATGTCCTGGCTCATGACTGAGTCCTGGAGTAGGCCAGGTGCCTGACCATGGGGCATCGAGGGCCAGTACAGAGTTGGCCGACACTCCATTACCAACTCCAAGTAGAATATATATGACCAGGCCTGAGCAGGCCCTAAATGTGAGAAGTTCTCTGTTGATGAGCTCGTGTCACAGTTGTAAATCAGGGCCTTCTGCTAAAAAAAAATAAAGAGAAGTAGCAAAATACTATGGAAGCCTTATCACGTGGCAAAAACCATCTGGGTACTTTAATCTTCATACAAATCCTACATGTGGATATGCTTATGCTCTGTAATTTACAGAAGAGGAAACTGAGGCACAGAAAAATTAAGAAATTTGCTCAAGGTTCCTAACCATAACTATCCATAGTGAGCACTCAGTAACTCTGTACTGATTCAGGAATAAGACGTCCTTCTTAGGGGCAAAACGAAGGCCTGAAAAGAAGCAACAGAAATCCTCCCCTCCTCCCAACTCAAGCCAGAAGTGACCTGTCCACAGTAACAAGAACAGATTTTTAGGGGAGCTGGCTCATAAACTGGCTGAAAGATGAATTCGAATGAGAAGTGTAAAGTGTTTTAGGCAACAGCATGACTGCTGGAATTGGTATATTGTTGGACAAGACGACTTCGAGGAAAGAATAATTTTTGATATGTTCACTACTCTAAGGCCACGCCACTGATGAGGCTGGTGGCCATTCTAAGTTACAGGGCTCACCGACAGACAGAGGCAAGCCTGGATCTGAGGAAGCAACACCAGGCTTTTTTACTTGGAGTGGTATTTGTGATTATGTAATTGTATTAGTTTTCTTTTGTCGCCATAGCCTTACTGACATCTGAGAAGTCCCTTTGCTACACTAGCTGCCCTCCGGCCTCTAGAGATTCATATTTATCCCACATGCAAACTACAATCACCTCATCCCAAGGACCCCAACGATCTCATCCATTATAGCGTCAACTCAAAGTCCCAAATCTCATCTAAACCTAGTCATCACCTAAATCAGGTACAGGTGAGACTCCGGATATGATTCACCCGGACACACTTCCTCTCCGCTTGTGGGCCTGAGAAACTAAGGAAACACATTATGTGCTCCTAAAATGCAGTGAGGGGACAGGCATAGGATAATAGTTACAAATATTCTGGTTCAAAAAAGATGAAAAAGGAAAGAAAAAGGGAGTCGCCACTCCAAATCAATTTGGAATTCCTGCAGGGCGAACGCCCTCTGAGTTCGGATCTGAGAATAACCCTCTGTGGTTTGAGGCTCTGCCCTCTTGGCTCATGGCTCCACTTTCTGAGTCATCCTCCTTTTTCAAAAAAGGTAGCATATGCTCGCAGCTGAGCAGTTTGCAATCAGCCTGTTTCCTGCTTGTGGAATTTCGGGGTCGGACAGACTTCTTTCATTTCACAGTGTCTCTCTTTCAGTCCAAGCTGGCAGTGTTTTCCCTGATATGAAGTTCTCAAGAACCTTGTGGGTCGCCCATTACGTCACAAGAATTCATTCCTTTAGACATGAAGCTCATGCCTAGGTAATTCCTAGATAATCCCACCTATCTCTGGCTTCTGTTGAGATGGCTGAGGGATAACGTCCGAGATGTCTAGAGGCTCCCTGGTTAGATCGCGAGAATCCGTGAGTCACCCCCTCAGTCTCTTCAAGGAGCCTCTGTGTGACAGGACACTCTCACACTCTGCACACAGCCTTGGCTTTTTCTCTACAGCATGCTTTTCCTAACAGTGAATCTATTGATTTTAGAGTCTTTTATCATCTGGATAGGATGAGAATTTCAGAAACAATTAAGTCCTGTTCCTTTTTGTTAATAGCTCTTCCCCCTCAACTTATCTCTTTCCGCTGCATTTTCTACTCTTCAATACTTTGCTTAGAAATCTCCTTAGTTAAATGTCCAGTTTCACCATTTGCAAGTTCCACTTTCCACACAGCCGCAGGACACAAATCAGCGAAACCTTCTGCCGTGATATAAGGACGCCCTTTTCTTTTGTTCTCAACATGCTCCCATTTCCTTCCGAATCCCTATCAGCAGCGCCTTTAATGCCCGCACCTCCACCAGTCCCTTTGTAGTGATTTAAGTATTCCATATTCCCTGAGGTGACTTAGGTTTTGCCTAGAATGTTCCTCACTGACTTCTGAGCCCTCCATGCTGGAGTTTCTAATGTCCGTATTCCTACCAACAGTCTGTTCAAGGCGATCTAGTTTTTTTCTGTCATGTGTCTCGAAATTCCTTCAGGTTGTACCCATAGCCCGATTCCAAACCCACGCCCACATTTTTAGGCATTTGTTATAGCAGCGCTCCACTTCTGGTACCAAATCTGTGTTAGTTTTCTATTGCTGCTGTTAACAAAGCACCACAAATTCATCTGCCTAATATAACACAAATGTACTATTTTACAATTCTGTACGTCGGAAGCCCAGCACGGGCCCCATCAGTCTAGACTCAGGTGCTGGCAGGCTGCCTTCCCTGCTGGGGGCTCTAGGAGAGAGCTTGTTTGGTGTTCATTTGGGCTGTCAGCAGAATTCAGGTCTCTAAAGTCGCAGGACCAAGGTCCCCATTTTCTTGGTGGCTAGAAACTCAATATTGTTCCCTGCTTCTAGAGCCTATCACATTCCTTGGCTCATGGCCTCCTTCTTGCCTCTTCCAAGCCAGTGATGGGAGGCTGAGCCCTTCCCATGTCTCTCTGGCTCTGTCTATCAGTGTGTCTCCATCTGACCAGAGAGAGACTCTCTCTGCTTTTACAAAGTCAGGTGATTACTTGGATAATCCAGGATAATCTCCCCAACTCAAGGTCCATAACCTTAATCACACCCGGAAAGTCCCTTTTGCCACATGAGGTAACGTATTCACAGGTTCAGGGACATCTTTGGGGACCATTACTCTGTCTACCAACCCTGTGGTAAAGAACATAGTCAGGAGGGCATGTGCCTAGGTTTCAAGACCCTGTTATGCCACTGACTGCCTGTGTGGCCTCGGAGAAGTCACCTGGACTCTCTGTGCCTCACTTGTATTATCTGTAAAATGAGAATAACGATACCTACCTGTGGTGCAGACCTGGAGACTGCGAACTACCCCAAATACCCATTTTTCCTCCTTCATTTCTTAGTAACAAAACGCGCTGCTTACGCTTCAAATTTAAGCTGGACAGAAAACTACCCAGCTAGAGACTACATATGGTGTCTGCCCTGGAGCCAGGGTGTGCCCATGTAACTCAGTTTAGAACAGTAGGGTATGAGCAGAAGTGATATAGACATAATTTCTGTATCATTTACAAATTAAAGAAAGCTGTATTATTTAAGTCAATGTATTTAATAAATTAATATTTGTAGTGTTTGGCCATATAGGGAGTGGTCAGAGTAACAGTTCTTATTGATTGCATTAATTTTGCCTCCTGGAGGTTATAATTCTACTTCATGTCTCAATCCACCAGTATCCTGTAGGAAATACAGATGAAATCAACATCACTGCAGTCTAATCTAATTAAAACGTGTTACCTGATTATTTGTTCAGATAATAAGAGGAACCACCAAATACCAAATTACTATGTGCCAGGCACTATGTTACACTTGACCCTGGGGACAGCTCTGTGAGGCAGCAGAGGCTCAGGGTCAGGTCGCTTCCTCGAGATTACTCTAGGCTGGGGCAGCAGCAACCCACAGTACTCACTGCCCTTCTCTGCCCCATAGCCAGGTCAATGCATCTGTGCACACACGTGTGCGTGCATGCGTGTGTGTTGAGAATTTGTCAATAACCCCTCTGAAAGTTACTCACATAGATGTTCGGTACTTGATGTCATCTTTTTCAGCCAGCTCCTCACAGGTGAGGCCATTGTGCTCCTTCCAGAGTCCCTGACACTTCCTACAGGTTTCCTGGGGATGAAGCAGAGACACAGACAACTCCTGGTGAGCAGAAGCCATGCACGTTTCTGTTTGACAATAAGGAACAGGAAGCACGCTTCACTTGGAATTCTTTCAGAACGTTCTCTCCCTTTCGGCAGGCATATTTCTCAAAACATTTCTCAACAGAAAAGGAAGAATCACAAGAAGAAAGCATGGGAAAACATCCTCTCCTGAGATCAAAAGGATGTATTGCTCCCATCACCCAATGTGTATAAAGCTTTCGAAAATGCCAGGAGCCACCTGATAAAAAAAAAATCACAGATGACAGATTTATGTGATTTTGGGTTCTTAAAAATAAAATACTGCGAGCCACTTGAGGGCAGGGTCTGTTGTGGTCTTAGTGACTTTTGCAGTCCCTGCGCCCAGTGTCCCAGTGCAGGTCTGGCACATAGCACTCCCGCTGACCTGAAGAACAGTCTAGATGACGGTTACTAGGGTCCTTAAGGGACACATTCCCTCAGGCGTCCCTCACTCATCAACGTGGAGTCATTCTCTAGAGCTTAACTTTATTTATAAACATGAATTTTTAAAAAATACTACTTTTTACTCTCGGATTCTTTATAGTTTATAAAATATTTTCACACATGCTAGAAACTATATCTCATGTCAAAAACAAGAATTAAAAACGCCCCCATTAATCCAATTTAATTTCCATAAATGGAAATGACAACTGTGATAAGTACAGTAAAGGAAAAGGTGGCAGCCTTAACTACGGACCCGATCTAGTCTCGGGGACAGTGAAGGCTTGAGGAAGTGGAGCCTGAGATCTGAAAGATGGGTCAAAGACAGCGAAAGGAGACTAGCACTCCAGACAGAGGAACAGTAAGAGAAGACTGGCAGGTGAAGCCGGGCAAGTCTGGCTCCTGCAGGCGGACTGCAGAGGTGAAAACAGGCCCACTGAGACCCACGGGGGCTTTGGAGGGTGTGATGATCAGTTTGACTTCCATCCGAAGGGCGCTAGGGAGGCATTGAAAGGTGTCAAGCCTGGAAATGACATGATCGGGTTTGTGATTTCAAAAGGTCATTCTTTGTGGAGAACAGATTGGCAGCAGGAAAGCGTGGAAGCATAAAAGACGGTTAGGAAGAGACGAAGGAGGCCTAGACCTAGAGAAGGAGGTGAAGACGTGGACGGAAGTTGACTGATTTGAGTGAAATTTAAGAAGCAAAACTGGCTGGCTTGGTAATGGCCTGGCTCTGGGAGTGAGGAGAAGGAGGTGTCAAGGATGATGCCCTGGTTTCCAGTTAGTGCACCCCAAGATAGCAGTGACATGGGTGGAGCTTGGGAACAATAGAAAAGGCCTGGCTTGGGTAGACTAGGGAGGAGTGGCGTTAAGATCTGGAATTTGATCTGGGTGGTGGTGACATAAGGGGACCTGAGGGACAACCAGCACAGAGATGTCAGGCAGGGAGTTGCGTGTAAATGTTTAGCGTCTAGGAGTGGCTGGGCTAGTGGTCACCAGGAGGCTTACTAGATTATATCTTCACATCAATTTTAGAAACATTTCCTATCACTGTACTCTCCCCTATCGATCATTTTCTAATACATGCTGCTAAGATGACTCTACTAAGGGCCATGGAACTGTGTACAGTACAGGTGCTGCCATTTCTACGTGCAAAAAGGTGGGGGGGGGGATACAGTGGTAGAGAAAATCGACCTCAGAGGACACCCAAGAAACTGATAGTACAGCAGCTGGAAGGCAGGGGTGAGACTTCTTACTGTAGGCCTTTCTTATATCTTATACTATATAAATGGTTTAATTAAAAAATAAATAAAATTTAAAGGGAGAGAAGTGGAATGGATCGCTCGGGGGGGGGGGCGCTGAGAACCTGAACCACCCTTTGGTGGATGCTGTAAAAAGGCTTCAGTTGATGGGATGAGGATGGGTGGGGTGAAATGAGCTGATCGGGGGTTCTGTACTGAATGCTGTTGCTTCCAAGGGTACGAGGTCCTTTGATTCACTAACTACATCCCTGTCAGTAAACAGAGGGTCATCTGCTTTACCCACAAAATGTTATTTAAGCAGCAGAAAATGGATGAAGCTAATCAGTAAGTGACTTAATTACTACACACCAAAATGTAAAGCAGTATGAAACCCATTTTTAAAAGACCTTGTGCCTGACTATTCTGGGAAACGGGAGGAATAAACAACAGCTGGAGAATAGATGAGCTGATATCCGCATCCTAACCTTCCAAACAATACTAACCTAGCCAGCCGCCAGGAATAACGGCTGGAAAACAATGCATGGCATCTAGGTAGTGCTTTGCAGCATTCCTGTGATCCAGTTATTAATTTATGGGACTTTCTTCATCAGGGAAAAATCCATCTTCTAGGTGAGACACAAGTCCACGACAGCAAGAGGACCCTGCCAGTCGAACTGGTTGTGAGGGGTCAGCGTGAGACCACCATTTACTTCCAAAATCATAGTGGTTCTCTTACAGGTCCATGTGTGGATTTTCAGCCGTGGTGCTGCTCACTGAGGGGCCCTGGGATTCCAGAGAACAAAACCGAAATGTCTTTTGAAGAGACTAGCTAACTAGACATTGAAACCCACGATTAAAATAAGGCAAGCTAATAGCAGGCTGTGTGAATTTAACATCTGGAGCTTTCTCTTTAAAAGGTACCCTCTCTTCTAAGCACAGTATGTGTTTTACTAAATTGTAACTCTCTTCTCTCAAGCGCTGCTAGGCTTTGTTCCTAGACTCACGAATTCTTAAATGTTAGGCAGCAGAAATGTTCTTGAATGTTTCTAACATGAAGACAACCACATTTTTCGAAGTGAGGGTCATAAGAAAGTCCCAAGGACCGCTTTGGAAGGCGGACTATATTTTAACGAGTAACTTCAAGGCGCGAAGAACGAGCGCATCCTGGCTATCAAATCTAATGAGAGACCAAGCTTCCAGCCGCCGTGTGTATTTTCAGATCGGGAGGAAACGGCTGAATTCATCATCGTTCTAAATACAACGAAGAAGGCAGCTCCTTCCTTCCGGATGAGGACATTGCACGCTGGTTAATGCGTTAAGGAGCGGCTGTCAGTCCCCGTTCCTCACGACATCAGATTTCTGGTTCCGTTTTAGGTCGCCCTTAAGACACATCAAGGTTTTTGACTATTCATTAAGGTCTTAGCTTTGCAAAATAAGGAAAAGACTCCATTTCCCCTTCACTCATTTTCTGCAGCTTAAGGAATGTTTTACGGGTAAAGCAGAGGTTAAGTCTGGTTTCAGAGATCCTGTCAGGCAGCTGACATCTCCTCATATAAACAGGTTCCTCAGAGACCAGCAGACGCTGTTCCAGTCATCACCTGGTCTACACACAGCAGGGCTTCCTGCTGCTGGCAGAGAACCGGAGAGAAGATGAGACCAAGGGACCAAGTCGCCAGTCTCTGCCCTCCTTGCTCACCCTGCCTCCGGGCCTGCTCTGAAGTTGCTTGGCTCCCTGTGCATCCTGCACCTTATCTGCCTGACTCCCAGCCTTGTCGCAGGAAGTGGAATATAGTAGAAACTACTCACTCGTTTCTGAATGGTTCCTCCAGTGAGATTTCTAGACTTACTCTCTAGGGGAAGGGAGTTGCTGACCTAGATATGGGGCATGAATCCAAGGCCAGTCTAAATCTAATCTCTGAAATTCCAGGCCCAAATGACATATGGAAGCCAGCCACGTCCAGAAAGAGACCGATTTTGAGACAGGAAAACAGACAATGAGACAGATGCTGGAACCGTGGAAAATCAAAGCTCAGGCAGAACGAGCGGGCTTTCCTTCCTTTCTTTAAGAGAATCCGGGACCTTCTTTTCCCTAGGGCCAGAATGCAGCCTCCTGAGGAAGCCAGATTCTGCAGCAAACCAAGCAGAGCACAGTGGAGTTAAGTGTAACAGTGTGTGTGTGTGCGTGTGCGCATGCACGCACACACACGCACACACACGAGGGCTCGGTCAGACAAGGATTCTCTGAGGAGTTGGCATTTTCATGAGACTGAATAAAACAAGTGTCACAAGTGCTGAGGACACCAAGGTAACCAGTAAAGTACTCCTCCCATCTGGGTCAACAACTCTTTGGGAAGTACCCTTCCCAGCTACGACAGCCATTAAAGCCAAGTATACGTTCTATAGATATATTCTAAACGTAAAATCAGACCTTCGATCAAACATTTTAACAAAGAAATATATTCCATGTTAATATTTTAATGAGCATAAAAGGTTTTCATATCATTTAATAAAATTATTTTAAAGTATGATTTATTTCATCACCCCCTTTAACATTTCTATGGTTCTGCCTGTTTTGCAATATAGGCTACAACAGTAGTACATGCACATAATTTATAAACAAACACAAACACTGGGGGCTTCTGTGCTACAAAATTTTTCTGATACCGTGAGCATCACAGAATTGTGCATCTACTTCTCTAGACACTGGAAAGTCACGACAGGGTAGCAAGCTGCCTGGGCTTGCGCTTGCGAATGCTTTGATGGACTGAAGACGCTGGACTAGCAGCAGGAAGACAGATAAGCAGCAACTGGAGGAGCCGATGAAAGGGATGAAGGTGTGAGAGAAGTCTGGAGGGGTTGCTGGGTTTCTGACTTGGGACCCAGCTGGTAGAAACATGAACTTGGATCAAGTGATGCTGGAGGAGGAGCGGATTTGAGTGAGGGTGGGAGGAGAGGTGAGAACATAAGTTTAATTTTAGACTAGCATATTTATTCATTCTCCGTTATTTGTGAATTTCTATCATCTGTCAAGTGCTGCATGAGATGCTGGGGATATGGCCATAAGCAAGTTAGGCTCAGTTTCTTTTTGGAGCTTACGTTCTAGTGAAGAAAACAGACACTAAACAAACAATATATAACTACAACTGTGATAGGAACATTTCAGAGGAAACGCACCGGTGGTGTAAGTGTAACACAGCGGAGTTAAATTAGCTGGGATCAGGAAAAGCCTTAGAGGGTGTGACATTGAGGCTGAACCCTGAAGAGTGAG